AGAGGGAGGGAGAGACAGACAGACAGACAGACAGAAAGAAAAAGAGAGAGGGTATTTGTTATTAGAATAAAAAAAGCAGACCTGCCACTCTATGAAACCTCAAAATCAGGATCTCGGAGAAAAAAAATCGCGATTTGGTGAAAAAAATCGGGATCAGCAGCAAATCACCAAGGTGACTGCCAAAGCTGACTAAAAATTCTTCCAGGGGTGTCCATAAATTACTTGGCATATATGCCCTCTGTGTGTCTTTGTTTGTTTGCCTGCGTGTGTGTGTGTGCATGCATGCGAGGTATCATTATTTTTCGTAAATCCTGAAGCATCACGTCAAGCATTCCTAGTCCAAGTGTCTATACCCCCCCCTCCACCAATAAGTCCCGAAATACATGAACTTAAGTTGAGCCCGTCAACGGACGGTCCACGACACGCAGAACTCACACGGCCATGTCATGTCACGTGATGCGAATGCGCGATTGAAACAATTTCACTGACGGGTCTGATTAACTGCGCGTTCATGCAAAACACTCGGAGGAGCGACAGGCGTTCTACTTCTAAGATAACGACGGCGGCCGACCAACCAAATGTACCAACAAATCTCTTATCCCTCATATGCGTTCAGACTAAAGCAACGACAACGGTCGTATGTTAGTCTTTTCAGCGCAGTTACATGTAGTTGTGTAAGGGTTAGAAAGACTGTCGCTCGTCTAAGTGTTTGATGTGAACGCAGTTACCAGACCTCGGACAAGGCTTGTTTTGAAAGTAACAGCGGAACTACGAATATTATAGATTATTTGTATGTCCCAAATTGTAACAGTTACCAGGCTATCATCGGAGAATTCTGAGAGCGGGTAAGCACTAAATGTGGAATCGATATTTCTGGAAATAGTGCTCCGAGTTCCTACTGACAAAAAGTTCGACGGGTGCTTCCTGCGATAAAGAAGGAGGCAGAGTAAGTTTTTAGAAAAATCCGGCACAACAGCAGACTGGGACAAAAAATCGGGATACATGTGATCGAAATCGGGATGCTTGAGATTTGGGGCAAAAAATCGGGACATCCCGACTAAATCAGGATGAGTGGCAGGTCTGAATAAGAATTGATTCCTGTCATTTTCTTTCTGAGTCGGTTCCCAGGCTGACCTGGTGCAATACAGTCATCTTTACTGTACACATTTTACGACAAGTCCCAACTTCTGAATCCCACCTCCTGTTTCCCATGTATCGTATCCAATTTTCCATACATCCCCATATCCCGACTTTAATTCTGTAAGGGCACTTCACTTTCCTTCATCTCATGGGATCTGGGATGGAACACTTGAAGCTGGCCAAAATTTAATATTAAATTAAACACGTCACTGTCGTCACTCACAAAAACCGGCGGAAGAGGCTAGCCGTACTTAATGACGGCTAGACAGCTAGGTGCGGCTAGACTGGTTGGCTAGCCGTACGGCTAGACAGCTGGGCTAGCAGTACTTATTCTTAATATGATGGTTATACTGACAATAAAAAAGGGCCTACTGAATTGTAAATTTTTAGTTTGCAGTACCCAAAGTATTTGTATAGACGAAACCAGGTGCCTTAATGACAGTGTATGTATTTTAAACCTCCTGTTTGCAAATGTTAATAGGGCCTCTAAGGTAAGTACGGTTAGACTGGCAGGTACGGCTAGACTTCTTGGCTAGCCGTACTTGCCGTACTTAAGTACGGCTAGACGACTAGGGTAGACTGTCAGGCTAGCCGTACTTTTAAGGCTGAATTGTAAAAGAAATTTTTAGTTTGCAAAGCCTAAAGTATTTCAGACAAAACCAAAAGGTGCCTTTCTGACTTGCATTATTCAAACTTGAATAATTACTAGATCTAGATTTTGATCTTGTATTAGACCTGTGTACTCAACAGGTTTGAGTAGATAGGGCCAAACCTAGATCAAAGTATGGCTAGACTCTCACTAGAAAACTGGCTGACTTAAACCAGCAGTGGACACTCCCCCTAAACAACAAAGTGCCATGAACGTAGCCTCTACAGCGCCTGCAAATTGCATTCAAGGCGCAGTGAACGTAGCCTGCCAACTAGATCTAGGTTCATGGACCCGTGAACGTAGCCGCTGCGTATTCATAACAAGATATAGATCTAGAGGCACTACTTGGATATATATGGTGGTCCCGACTTTTGTGTAGTGTAGGCAACTGAAATATCGATACTGATTCAAATAGTCGGTATCAATATTTTATGTTTTATCAGTAGCCTAGATTCTAAATCTAGATCTAGCCTACAAAATGAGCAGTAAAATTTCACTTGTTTTTCACAAAGTCAAAGCAAGGGGGGTTGCCCCCCTGACTTAAAAAAACCCCAAAACATGGGGTGTTTCAGGGGGGTATGCCCCTCTGAATTTGACCATGATGTGATGTTTTTTTGCAATAAGGTTTGAAAGGCTCTCTCCGCCACGCGAATCAAAAAGAAATCGTTCAGACTTAGAACCAGAAGTAATCGTTCTAATCTAGAATCTAGATTTTCTCTAGAATTTAGGTAAAAGTTATATTTCCCTGTCACAAAACAAAAGTCGAGACCACCATATCCAAGTAGTGCCGATCTAGATCTAGAATCTAGATCTAGAGTCTAGATCTAGAGTCTAGATTCTATATTATATCCAATCAAGATTGGCTTTAAAACGAGTTGGAACAACACTGTTTAGGCAGGCGGGCAGCCGACGTGTCCGGACAATAGGCCTACTACAGTAGACTTGACTTAGTCAATATATATAAGATCTAATCTAATCTAGATCTAGATCTAGATTATATTATCATTGATTAGAAATCTAGATCTAGATCATCATAGTCAATGTTGAATGGACAATATGGCCAAGGCCAAGTGCCAAATATAAGAAATATAAATCTCACCGTCGCCGTCACTGATTACCCCTGACCCTGATACTGATGATAGGTCGGAGCATTGACTTTTGACCATTATAGTAATTGTAAAATGAACTTATTCAGTTTGGGGACAGATGGCTTAGCAGTCGCTTTTAAACGTATCTTGATCATCTGTTACGTGTTATTAGACGTGGATAGCAACTTAAGTGAGAAGTGAGAAAAAACTTGACAAAATTATTGTCAACAGACTGAAAACTGAAAGAAAAGTATCGATTATTTGAGACTAAGTCTTCAGTTTCCATTACTTTCTCCTCAAATAACAAAAGTATGTACAGAAAGTTGTTCGTTGACAAAACAAAAGAATAGACTCAAATGTTTAGACTTATCTATTTCTTTTTTCTTGATATTTTCAAATCTTTAATGAATTTTATAAATTGTAATGTAGTTTGATCTATTTTTATGGGGGATTGTGGGCACCATAAATCTAACCTAAAATGAACAGTATTATTAATTATCTTCATACACTTAGTTGGAAAAAAACAGCCTCGTTTTCAATGTGATACAAGCGAATTAAATGTAACTTCCGGTAATGGCTGCGTCCCTATTCTAAACGTCCAGGAAAACAAAGAAGTGGTATCTACAAATTAATATTTGCGATGCAAGGTGGACCCCCAAGGTACCCAAATCAAGGGCCATCAATGAGGCCGTCATATCCACCGGCAGGCTATGGATCGGTAAGAACCAGTACCTCTTTTGGACTAGATTCTAGATCTGAACTGATTCACTGCTGAGTACAATTAGATCTATAATCTAGATTCTAGATCTAGTTCTTCTAGAGTAATTGGCGATTGTCAAGATTTCCGCGTTTAATTCCGATGTGCGTTTTTCATAGCCTAGCAATGCCAATGAAAATTTAAATTTTCACTTTTGCCCCCTTTTTTTTGGTACCTAAGAAAGAATTTTCAATTCTAATAA